GGGGAGGGGGCAGGAGCAGAGGGAGGACTGAAATAATTCCCCCTTCCACATTTGCTAAACATGGCTGTCTTGATGAAGGGGCAATGCCATCTTCAGTCAGCATCTGCGTCACGAAACATTAATACTGAAGCTGTCCTGGGACAGAACAGTGCGAGGACATCGCAGGGGAAGCTGCATTTTGTCACGAGTCATCACCAGGCAGGTGGTGACATCTGGAATTGACACGGGCAATTGTTAACACTGCGGTTTCACAACGGCCAAAATCTCAGGCTAAAAGTAAGAGAAGGTTATATTAGGAGTCGTCCTGATGAACATGAGGACTAGGGAGGTAAATGCAGGGCTTTCTCTCAGCATCCAGGCACTTGCTTCAGAGAGCCAAAGATGGAAGAGGTTTTGGAGGCTCAACAGGTCAGACCGTGTTTACCCGTAGAGATTCTAAGACAGCTGGAGGCATCGCTGTTACAGGAGGCCTGGCACCAGTGTGTTTGAAGCAGAGGAGAACAGGAGTGTGAATTCACAGATACTCTGCCCCTGAATTAGCACACAAGGACTAGGGGGAAGGTGGAGTGGGCAGCCCCAAGCTATGGCACTGACCTCGGAACTTGTAGCCCAGGAGCATATCTTCTCTGCCAACCTTCTTTTTAATTTCATAACACACACACACACACACACACACACACACACGGTAGGTTTATTCACCAACAATGACATAATTTAGACTTCTAACATACTGTGAAAACAAAGTTCCTCTGAATTTTCAGCTAGATTCCTGGCATGCTCTTTTTTTGAGATTTGGGACAATACATGCCAGGTATCATCAGAGTATCCAAAATTGTGACATTTTAAACATACTCCCTGTAATGGTCTGTCCTGTCCCTTTAAGAGACAAGCCATGCACCTTTCCCCATCTGCCAAGGCAAGCTATCTTTTGCTTCTAGCCTGAGTCCCTCTCCCACCCTCTCAGAGGCAGCTTCTCTTTTTCCCTTCTCCTCACTTCTCCCCTTTGCCCTCTCTGTTTCTGTTTCTCTCTTCTTTCTTTCTTTCTTTTCTTTCTTTCTCTCTCTCTCTCTCCCCTCTTCCCCCTTTCTCCTTCCCTTCCATAACCCACTAAATAAATATCCAACTTCACTCTGCATGGCATGACTATCCATCTCAGTCTCTCACCCAGCATAGGGTCCCTGCCTGGGACCCAGCTGCCTTCATGGCCTGCTATGCTCTTGGGGGCTTGCTGCCTGCCGCTGCTCTGCTTTGAAACCTGTCGTGTGGTCTCATGGCCCACTACCCACTGCCGCCACTTGGGGACCTGCAGCATTTTACTTAAACCATTACACTCCTAACACTCTTCACACACTATAATTCAAACCACTATGATACCTTTTATAATAATAAACTATAAATTATTGTAGTACAAAGAACAAACTACACTGCACGGAAACATTCAATGAAAAACATAATTAAAAACATAATTTTTAAAGTCTTCCCAATTAAAACAAACAAACAAACAAACTTGAGCTATACGGCCCCACAAGGCCACAGAACAACCAGAAGAGAGAAGATCCGCTGAGATGTCCAAACTCCAGTCTCCTTTTCTGGCCTGTATGAGCCCTGATTGAAGGGGCTCTAACATGCCTACTTGCACTCGCTGCTGCTGCTGCTGCTGCTGTCGCCTTTGCAGTTCCCCATCCCCGCTTGACCCTTGGGGTAATAATCTTCTTTGTGCTGAGATGTCTTCATTTATTTGGTTTGGGTATGTCCTGTGGGACTGTGAGGGGGGCCAACCTTCATTACATTGGTGATCCTTTCAAGGTGTGGATCCTTCCCTAAGGACAAATCCAGAGAGTCCTCCCGACACCGTGGGAACCCAAAGCGCAGAGGTGGCGCATGCACACAGTAGAGTATGGTTCAGGACCCACAGAAAAGGATAGCTCATTTTGCCATGCCCGGGACTTACACCTCAGCCCCAGGCCCTGGGCAGAAACACAATCCACATCGCCCCCTTGCGGCGGGAAGTTCCCCTCGGTCAGGACGATTAGATGCAGCTCTTGGGTAGTGGTGACACCTGCCTGTTTAGGAGCATTCCACTTGCCTACAAAGTCTCTCTCTGTTGGTTATGAAGCTGTGGTAACTTCTTTCGATGTGAACTGCAAAAGTTGCTTATCAAAGAAAATTGAGCTGTCGTTTTTGTGTTCATTCTCGGAGGGGAGGTTTAAAACAGAGCCAAGAGTCCTTAGATGGACGCTCTCCTTGCAAAGTGGGGCGGTATAGGAGATGCTGCTTGCGGACCGGTGACAGGTTCTTACCATTTCTTTCGGAAACCTTTTTGGACCTCCCCTCAGACCTTCCTAGTGTGTGGTGACCAAATGCAAGTTATAACAGAGCTTTTCGAGAAGCTTTCTGAAGATTTCGTGACGTGGGTGGAATATATTGATACAGACAATGTCCCAACTTACCGGCAAAAAGGGTACACTTTAAACCAGGAACATGTTCATGGTAGGCAAGTGCTCTCAACGGGCCACATCCAGGTAACAACAAGAATTTTTTGGTCCACAGACAGGGTCGCTGCCTATTGTTCTTGGAACGTTCTTGGAACTTTCCCGTACTTTCTCAGTGATTCACTTCCTTAACGTTGTTGACATCTACTGGCCTTCCCGACATTTGTCTACTCTCTAGCTTCTCAGCTTAGCAGATGTAAACAGTCTTCTGTTTTTAACTCTTTTACATGTATTTATTAGGAAGCAGGGGAGGGGCGAGTGGCGCTCTCCAGTGCAGAAATCAGGACAAATGCAGGAGTTGGCGCTCTCCTTCTCTCTCATGGATTCCAGAGACCAAACTCATGTCCTCAGGCTTGGCGGGAAGTGCTTTTACCTGCCGAGTTCTCTCATTGGTGCTAGATCATCTCTCTTGAAGCCCCGTTTTCTGACAGATTCAAATCCCTAACCTCATTGGAAGGGAGAAACCTAGAAACAGTCCATATGGTCTCCAAACAGGAGTCCAGGAGTCTGAAACTGATAGGAACGATCTGCCTGATTTCTCAGCACTTTGAGGTGGAGTAGGATTGAGAATTTAAGACCATCCTGGTCTACGGAGGAAGGCCCAAACCGATGAGGACTATGAGACCCTATCTTTAAGTAAAAATAAATAAATAAGTAAATAATAATAGAAAAAGGCCTCATTGGTTGGGTTTTTGTCTGTCCTTCTGGAGAGCAAATGCCTCAACTCTGATGCTCTTCACTCTGCTTGTTCTGCTGCCCCCCTTTTCCTGGTCCGTTCCTTGGAGCAGCACCCTCAGTGTCTACAATAACTACCCTAGGTTAACATCTGCTTGCATGAGGAAAGGGCTGAAGCAGACATGTCAGCATCAGGAAAAAGATTAACTCATGGTCTAGGTAGCTCATGGCGTGGGATTGTATGCTATCCCAAGCCAGGTGTTTAATGAAGAACAGTGGTGACCACACACTACAGTGATGTTTTCAGGTAGTAAGGTTTATAAGCCTTCTGCCTGTCTATTTCCATTTTAACTTTTTACCTTCAGGATTTCCTTCCATTTTAAGAGACTGAGGATAGAGTTGGTGCTGGCATGTATCAAGTAAGTAAGACCTAAAGATACTGACAATCGGGCAGGGCTGGGCTCCGGTTAATAGAGAAGTAGTCCTGAAGGGAAGGCCATCTCAAAGGGCGGGAGGTCTTCCTGACCCTTGGCACACAGTCTGTCACTGGCTTGGACTTCTCATGCCACTGGCTTGGACTTCTCATCAGGTAGAGGTCAGAGGAAGTGGGACACGAGGCTTCCGGTACTGAGCTTCGAGAGAGTGAGCCTTGAGCCTCGGAAGCTTTTAGCAGCAGCAAAGGCTTAGACAGAGTGGCTGCTACCACAGCCCACACACCTGGGGTGTGACAGAGATGCCGGTGGTTACCTCTGTGTCTCCTGATGTCACCGGGATCTCTGCTCCTCCTGAGGACCTGGGTTCCCAGCATTCACATGGCAGTTCACAGCTGTCAGCAGGGGATATAATGAGCTCTATGCACAGACATACATGAAGGTATACATACACATAAGAATTAAAAAAAAAAAAAAGACTAGTTTAAGGAGCTGGAGAGATAGCTCAGCAGTTAAGAACACTGGCTGTTCTTCCAGAGGGTCCAGGGTTCAATTTCCAGCATCCACATGACAGATCACAACTATCTTTAACTCTAGTTCCAGGGGATATAACATCCTCACGCAGACATACATGCAGGCAAAACACCAATACACACTAAAAATTTTACTTTAAAAAGATCGTTTTTAAAAGTAAAAGCACTATTCCTTACATTTAATCCACATCAGGCTATAACTAACTTCCAGGGATAACCATCACAAAATCAAGCCAGTCCACATCCTGGATGTATTTCCAGCTGAGATCCAGTAAATATGGGCACAATGACTTTAACTGCACTCGACTCCACACTGACTTACAAGCTGGGGTCATTTTTGGCTGTAACTCCACACTCAGATCCTACAGCTAGTGACAAAGTAACAAGATACTTTCATAACCTGGCCTATACCAGGGAACACAGAATCACAGTGCGGAGCTCTGGAGTCAGTTGAGGGAGCAGGCTCCATTTTCCTCCACAGGATAGGATAAGAGCCCTAAACACCCAACTTTGAAAATCTGTAAAATATCTACAAAGTAGAAAATGCTCATTACTTCCCTGTCTTATTTTTGAAGCATCTCAACTAATGCTTGGTTTTTTATCTTGTTTTTTTTTTTTTTTTTTTGGAAACAATATGGCCTGGTTGCCCTAGAACTCACCAGCAAACTAGCTTGACTTTGAACTCACAGAGATCTACCTGCCTCTGTCTCCTGCATTAAAGGGTGCACAAAGCCCCGCTAACAATGTCTCATTACTGCGCTCTAGTCACACAGAACCAGGTGTCTTCCGTTAACTTTCACTCTGTTCTTACCATTGCTTCTGTACAAGAGGCTTAATGTGGAAACAGTGGGTTTAAACAGCGACCCAGATGAAGATGCAACTCTCCCTTTTATTAGCTATGTGACTCTTTAGACAAAGAACTTCCTGCCACTCCTTACCACTGTCACAAGTAGAAATAGTTCCAGAATTGGTTGTCAAAGTAAACATCACAGGTAATGTGCAGAACATATTCTTCAGGATTTTTATAATCTCTCTCCTCACAGCAACTCAAAGAGTTAGTGAATATTTATTAACTGAAACCCCAAGGAGCGAAAGATAAAAGTTCAATCTTCATTCCTAAGAACACCAAGGAAGCAAATAACAATTACGGTAAAATAGGAGGAATGTCACCCCAGACAGAAATCAGTGTTCCAGCTCCACAGAAGCAGAGCACCCACCTAGGGAGGGGAAGCCAGGGAAGCCAGCCTGACATCCTATCTGACTTGATCACGAAGAAGAAATACACCTGAGCTTGTAGAGAAGGGAGCAAGAGGCCAGGTGTCAGGCTGTTGGAAGAGAAGTTTCAGAAGGTGCTGAGGAGGGTGGTTCATGTGACAGAGCCACAGTGTGGACTGGGCTGAGGAAGAGGAATGGAGATAGGAACAGGGGCTGTAAAGGCAGGCAGAAAGGACCCATGAAGGTCTGGCTCATACAGCAGCTGTCTTTTTTCCCTACATCTAGTAGTATCTTTCTTACCACATGTATAATTTTTATACATAAGGCACAAACCAAAATGAGTACTGAAACATTTTAAAAGATAGGGTTCATAACTTGTAAACATCTTTTCAAGATGAGAAACTTATCGTACAAAGAAAAGGAACATAAATTATTTTATGTATATATGTATGTATGTATGTATGTTTAACATTGAAGCTAGGTTTGTTGACACATACCTATAATCTCAGCTCTTTGGGAGCCTGAGACAGGATTTCAAGTTCAGGGCCTACCTGGCCACAGAGTTAGCTCAAGGCTTACCAGTAACTTACAGAATAAACCCATGGCCCTGAATACTTGAGTGAGGCCCTATCTCAAAATGAGTCATGAGTAGACAAGGATTATGTCTGCACCAGAGTAACTGAGTTTGGCTTCAAAAGAAGCTGAAACTCACTCAACGATTCCCACCTAAAAAACTAAACACATACAATTTTTTTGTTTTGTTTTTTTGAAACAGGGTTTTTCTGTAGCTTTGGATTATTTTTTATTTTCAAACAAAAACTTCAAATTGGGCCACTAAGTCAATTCCTGTTAATTCTGTCGCCTATCACAGTGAATGAACACCATAGATCACATGGACTTGTCATGGCTACGCTAGTGGAAGGCAAATCCACACTTTTCAAGCCAGAAATTGCTAGCAGCCCACTGAGAAAGAGGCAGGCAACCAGAAGTCCAACAAAAGAAAACAGGCACTTCCAGGAGTAATCAGCCTGGAGAGTAAGAGTAAGTTCTCAGCTGGGCACTTACAGGATTTGATCAGGGTGGGTAAAAGAGGCCTACAAAAAAAGGCCCTTTTACCAGACCCTTGGTCTGCAGAATAGAGAGAATATATCTTCCTGGGCTGTTGGTTACACTCTGTGGGAGAGAGCAGGGCTGGTAGGTACAAGTGGCTTCCTTTTCAACCAGGAGTCCCTTGCTGGCTATGGTTCTTCTTTGCTCTCTGCAGGAGGAGGGGCTCCAAATATCCTGGCAAGGAGCCCTTTGTTGGATCGGGCCTGGTCTTGGAAGTTTGCCAGTCGAGCTCGTTCCCGCCCTCCTGGCCGCGCTGCCTTCCGGGCCCTCAGCTCCTGCTCAGTGGGACGTTGAGCAAATGTCCAGGAGCTATTCGGGCGAGTAGCATCCCCATCAGTTGCAAGGAAGCGTTTTCCCCGTTCAACACTTTGAAGATAGAAGTCAGTCTCTCGCTTTGCTTGGGCAACCTCTGCTCTTAGGCGCTGCCTCCGCACCTGGCGCTCAAAGGCAAGGTGTTCGCTGAGATGAGACCAAGTAAAACGATGCAAATACTGTGGCCAGGAAAACAAGAAAAGGTCAGGACAGGGAAGACCAATCAGAACTGGAAAAGAAACTGGGAGCTGGGGAACAGTATGCTAGGGCTGGAGGGGACTAATTAAAGTGTGGCAGAGAAACCTAGAATCTCACCTTGAGGTTCCAGAGGTCATAACGGAAGGGGCTGCGCCTGCGGGCACCCATGGGCGTGTTATGTAGACTGGCTGCCACTCGCTTGGCTATGCGCTTGTCACGGAATTCCACCCAGCCTTCTGTATAGTCCTTGCTGTATTTAGCTGCCTTCTTCCCTCCTGCAGCCGCAGCTGCCTTCTTTTTGCGTCTCACAAAGCGGTCTGTGGACCAAACACAGCGAACATCCTGGTCAAGCATCCACCGAGACACACCTCCGCTTGATCGGAAGTTCAAACCTGCTAGCTCGGGTGTTAGTTCACAGCTGCTGATGGAAAAGGACGATCTGTAAGGTGCAGACTGTCCTTTCACTCACTTCTCTCTTCAAATGCAACTCCCTGAACACCAAGAGCCCAGTTCCCACCCCCGTCTCCAAACTGCGCATGTCAAGAGGTGGAAGAGGCTGAAGGAGGCTAATACACTGTTTCATACACTGTTTCATGGATTACCTGAATATCACGGGTATCTTTCAGGCCTTATTACTGCACTCTATTCGCCCACCCTCTCCATTTTCCTTCCCCTGCCTCAGCCTTCTAAGAGACGTGGATGGTACAGATTTCACAGCTACTAGGGAAAGTCCTTCCCACGCCTCATGCGTGTACACCCTTTAATAAATTGTGCCCACCTGCCTGCATTGCCACCCTCTTCCTTCGACGCAAGGCTTACCTTCGGCCTGGAAGAAAACGCGTCCCACCTCACCGTAGGCGCTGAGCAGGTTGCGAACGTGCAAGGGCCGGAATCGCGGCGGGACGTGTCCCAGGTAAACAATACCCGGCACTACCCTCTTCTTCTTCTTGCTGCTGCTGTCGCAGTCCGCTTCCTCGGGCTCCTCCTGCTCCTCCGCCGCATCTGTATTCCGCTCTGCCTCTTCCTGCGATCCTCCCTCCATCGGCGCCCTTCGCTCCTCCACCAACTCCGCGGCTTTCATGATGGCGGATACGGGGAGCACGACAGCCGTAAATCCGTCGCTACCCGATGACGCACATCCTGCGAGCGGATCTGCGTTCTGGGAGGGGAATAAAAGTGGCCTATGACGTAAATTTCGTGCGCTGGTCTGCAGCGTGAGGCTGGGACAACCCCGTGAATGCCAATCAAAAGATGGCGTTGTCGGTTGCGAGGCAGCGGAGCCGACAAGGTAAACGCGAAAGGACGTTCAAAGCCAGATTCCAGGTCTGGGGCGAGGCAGAGGCGGGGGCGGGGCGGGCTGACCTCACAGACTTCTCTCTTGCGTAAGAGGCGGAGCCACGGGCAGTGAGTCTCTGCAGAATAGTCTCGAGGACTATTTTTATTTTTTTTTTAAATGTGCACGAATATTTTTGCGTTCATGCACCAAATGCGTGTCCTGGTGCGTCTCACGGTTTTTTTTTTTTTTTGCAGAATTTATTGGGAGGTTTTTATATTGTAGAGACCAAAACAGCATTTTATTCTAGGACGGTGGTGCAAATAGGGTTGAGGGGGATAACTCATCTTTTAAAAGCTTTGTGATGTTCGACTTGTAAAATTCAGTCAGAGCTTTGAAGTTTTCATTATTTGAAATTTCAACTGAGTTTTAAACATCTTAAAATTAAAGTTTTTGAAGCCGCTTATAAACTTGCACGTATAATTTTGGAATTGTAATTGGGTTTGTCCTTATAAATTTTAAACGCGCCTCTGGTGATTTCTAATTTAACTTGGTGAATATTGAAATCTTTAAATGTATTAGTTATTTGAAGACCTCTCTCTGACTACTGTCGTGCGCGAATCTATTTCTATTGCCTGTTGATGAGCGAAGGGTGAGGGGTAGCGTCGCTCAGTTTGCTCTCCGGCAGCTCTTCGGTCAGTACCCTGCGCAGCCTCTGGGCAGCCGCCAGGGGGCGCGATCCTCACACCAGTCGCTCGCCTGCGCCGCTAAGTGGCCGTCTCTTGGTTTTGGGACCCAGCGCGGTGGCAGCTGCGGTGCCTCTGGCTCCTAAGGCCGGCTGGCGAGGATGCTGCTAGAATTCGTGAAATAACCGTCCCTCCTGCTTTACGGAGCCTAGGGACGACCCTGAGGATTAAGTGTTCCCTCGCCGAGGCCCGACATAATTTCTCATCCTCCATAACCTCGAAAATTATAGAGAACAGAAGCCGGGACAACTGTGTCTGCAGGCTCCGGGCGTTATTTGTAAAACTCGGGTGCATCTGAAGGCCTAATAATTAAACCTGGGTTTCTCGGGAGTTTGTTTTGGTGCTTTCATTGAACTTCCTGTTGGCTACCTCTGCTCCTTGTCGGGTGCGGGGAGAACAGACTCCTGCTTTTAATTTTTAACTGACTACTTCACCAGCAATGGTGACGCTTGAGAACACCTCATAGAGTTACTACAAAACATTGAGAGCTGGGGGGAAGGGGAGCACATGTGAAAAAGATGCCAGAGTGCCTCACGTGGCGACTAAATGGCAACACCTAAAGCTATTTCTCTACTTTGTGTGTGCTTGGAATTATTGTTAACGAAATGTTTATACATATTAATTGCCAAGTCAGCCGGGAGTTGCAGCCATCATGTGATCCTCAGCTTTTGGGAGGTGGAAAAAGGAAGATAAGTTCCAGATCAGCCTGGCCTACAAGAGAGACCCTTTTAAAATTCAATTACTATTTTAAAAGTATGAATATTTTAAAAGTAGAGGATCGTGGAGAATCATTGACTCGTCAATGAGGAACATATAAATTTCATGGAGTTGTTGATTGCATTGCTTACTTCACACCAACTTCTGTAATTGTGTATATTCACATGACATTGGTTCACGGTGTTTTCCAATTTTCCTTTAAAATCCTGGTAATCCAGCGGATGGTAAGACAGTTTCAAAAGGCAATTCCTTCGAGCCGGATTCGAACCAGCGACCTAAGGATTACTAGCATCACACCTACAGTCCTCCGCTCTACCAACTGAGCTATCGAAGGAACATGCCAAGACTGTTTTTAAGATTTGTAAAATAGCTGGCAGACTTGCTGCAATTCATCTGATTTGTTGTAAAAATAAATGATAAGGAAATGTTTTTGAGGTAGTAGAGAATCTAAAATTAGCTAATGATCACACCGCAGGTGTGTAAGAACATGTTTGAAATGTGTGCTCTTAATGCATAAATGTTTCACATAGATTTCCAAAAACTGCTCCTAGGAATGTGCATGCACTGAATCCTTCCGGAGTGAACCATCATCCCCTTGATGCACGTTCCCTGCTGTGCTCGCCAGTCTCCTTACACCTCCTTTCTCTGCTAAAAGTGAGAGAAAATGACAGTGATACCATAGGCAGACAATACTATCCTGAAGCACAGCTGTCGCCCATTTCACCAAAGAAACGCGTGATTCGCTCCTTTCTGAACAAGGAAAACCAGGGGTAGACACAAGTGCACGAGAGACCTTTAACGTGGATCTAGAAAAGGAAGGAAACTTGCTATTTTGCACAATTGTAATGGAGCAAATAAATGAAACATTACACATACACCTCAAACAGTAATTTTAACCACTCCATTTTTAAGTATGCTGTCGTGCTTGGCTAATAAGCACCTATGGTGCCATTCAGCTTCCTGATCCTAAGACAGAAAATGAGTACCATTGGGAAAAACAAGAAGCCATCCAGGGATATTTGTATGGAATATATGAATTATGAAAGGTTTATGTTTATCTATAAAAAATTATCTCGTTAAAATAGCAAGTATAAACTGAATGTTGTTTATATGCACGAACTTAAATAGCCTCCAAATCTGAACTTCTAAAGTTGGTTAAGTTTAATAAATATCGGTGTATAGATACTATTTTTTGACAATGGAGTCAATTCAATTGAGTCTGTGCCACTAAAACAATCCTCCTTCGAGCCGGATTCGAACCAGCGACCTAAGGATATCAATTACTCCTACAGTCCTCCGCTCTACCAACTGAGCTATCGAAGGAAGCTGCTTAAGTTGGCTGTCAAGCACTTGATGATTTATGGAATAGCAGGTTTTATTCTACTTTTGGATTCATTCAAAATGACAGCTACCAGGAAAGTCTCTTAAGGTACTAGGACATTGCTTTTATTGTCCCACTGTGTTGTCCTGTCCCTCCTCCCTCTGCTAAAAGTGAGAGAAAATAGCAACAATATCATAGATAATGCGTCCTGATACAGAGCTATTGCCCAGTTCAGAGACAAGCCTGATTCTCTTTTCTGAAGTCTAAGGAAGGTAAGTGTGAATGCAACTGCATGAGACACAAAACTTGAGAGGCTTTTGACATGTATTTTAGTTCTGTTCCTGACACTGTGTTAACATGCTATGACCAAAAGCGACTTGGGGAGGAAAGGGTTTATTTAACTTACACATCTTGCTCAGTCTGTCATAAGGGAAACCTGGGCAGAAATTCAAGCAGGCAGGAAATGAAGCAGATAACATGGAAGATAGCGTGCTGCTTACTGGCTTGCTTACTCAGCCTGCTTTCTTATCCAAGCCAGGACCACTTGCCAAGCAGTGGCACCACCCACAGTGGCATCACCCACAGTGGGCTGAGCCATCCACATCAATCATTCATCATGAAAATGCCCGCGGAGACTTGCCTACAGGTCAATCTGATAGAGGCATTTTCGAGATGATGAGCTGTGTCAAGTTGACAAAACCTAACCAGCACTGCCATGCATTTAGGAACGGAGCGGCCCTTGTATATTGAACAATTACACTGGAACAAATAAACAAAACATAACATATACCTCAAAGTTAACAAATGTAATCACCTCATATTTAAGTATGCTGTTATGCTTGCTAGCGACCACCTGTGGGCCACTCAGCTTCCCGGTGCCAAGACAGAAAAATGAGTCTCGTGGGAGAACATGGCAAGGCGTTCGGGGCAGCTTTTATTTGTTTGTTGGAATTTATGCATTTTAAAGTTTATTAATTGTGAGAGGTAAGGAAAGCATATAACATTTATGGAAATATTTCTAATATTCTGGAGGTCTGCGACACGTACAGCAATGTCGAGGACTCCGGGTTTCGGGGCCTGAAGAGGAGAGAGGGTGGGGAGCTGAGGGAAGGTTGGAGGGAGCTGAGGCGGTCTAGGTGCTCCAGAAAGCCTCTAAGAAAGAAAAACCAAAACGCAGACACCAACAGCAAAATCAAAACCTGCAGATATTTACGAGTTCTGCCTAGATTCTCCCGCTTCAACCTTTCCAGTTGCTGGGATCCCAGCGTAAGTATCTACAGCCATCAGCTGTCGTTTTGGTGAACGTTCATCGTCTTCGCCCGTACTGGGAAGGAAGAGGGAGAGGAGGAGGACCAGTCCCTCTTTTATACCCTCACTGGGACCTTTTCTCAATCTCACGGTCCCTAGTGAGAGGATCTCACATTTTAGGTGTGCTGTGCGTAGTACTGTCAGAGGTGGGTGGAGTGTGTTGGGGACACACTGTGCAAAAGGGACTGAATTGATGGCTTTCTCTCAGAAATGGTACGTGGAGTTTTGCTTTGGGGTATGCTTGGCATAGCCTCATAAAATTCTTCCTGTGCCAAGACCCACTGATCCCGATCGCAGAGGACCCCGCTGGCTGTCACCTATGTCCTAATTCCTGGCAAAAAGTAAAGTCTTGGGAGCAGGGTCCCTTGACATTCTACATGCCCAGTGGATATAAATTAGAGAAACTAGAGCAACCAGGAGGCGGTAAGTGACAGGTTGTCAGAGTCTGTCTAAACGATCCTTACGCTTTAGGGGAGACTGTTATTAAATTATATGTTCATTAACATCAAAATACTTGTCCTTCGAGCCGGATTCGAACCAGCGACCTAAGGATATCTCAGGAGAGGGTGAAACTCCACTACAGTCCTCCGCTCTACCAACTGAGCTATCGAAGGAGATGAGAGACTCATTCTTAGGAATACTGTATTATCTCTATTTTGCTAAATTGTCATAGCTATTTTTAAAGGAATCTCTTTAAACACTTGAAATATTTTATATAATGATGTTGATAGTTTCATGGGTATATATAAGAAAC